TAAAAAGAAGTACAGAAAAGGCAGAAGGGGGAAAAGGGAATAGATAAGGAAGAGGAGAAAGCAGAAAGGAAACGAACAAAAAGGAATAAAATAAATGTTAAATTATAAAACATACAGTAAAGAATAAAGGAGTACCAGTGACCCTACTAGCAAATGCTACCAATGTTACCTAATTACTATCTGAGGAACACTAAGCAAGTGGCAACATAAAGGAGTATGAAAAGGCAATCTAAACCAGATATATGAAATTCTAAAGCTGAAAAATAAAGATACTTACAAAAGTAAAAAGGAACATAATGAAATCTTAGAATCTAAAGAGAATTTAAGAGATTATACTAAAGTCTCATTTAGTTTAATTATACTTCACTTTTCAAGAAACAGTGACTCTGGTAGGTCCAAAGGTGAAAATGTCAGTAGTGCCAGAGATCTTTAGGGGAGGTGCATCACAGAGACACTAAAAAGCTTATTTGCATACTCTGTGTGGGACTAACTTCAGAACTTGCCTGTCAATGGTGTGCTATTTACTATTTGATTTTCTAGTTGATTCTGGTTAGCTGAATTAATTCTCTTAAAACCAGAGTTCAAAACAAGTACTCATTAATTATGATCAAGCTATAATGTTCAAAAGGGCAAGGGGCTTGCAATAGATCACAGAATACTACTTTATATAGTCTAAATCAGTCTAATAGTAACCAAAACCTAATGATTCTCAAGAAAATTGTAGAATTAAGAAGTCACTTTAGAAGTTTCTTGAGTGCCTAAGGCATCTGACTGCTAACCAGAAGGCTAGCAGTTCAAACCCACCAGCCACTCCTTGGAAGGACGGTTGTGCAATCTACTTGCTAATGATACCGCCTCAGAAATCCAAGGACGGGTCGCTATGAGTCAGATCCGACTGGATGGTAATGAGTTTGGTTTGGTTTGAGACAAAAAAAAACTTTTAAAAATGAATTTACACATTTATAATTAACATATTTTTTCCACATCAGACTTATACAAACTTTCAGACCCTATGTTTTGGACACACAGACACATACACCCAAAAACACCCCCACTGCCTCCAGCTACTTCAAAAAGGATAAAAAGAAATAAAATCCTTAAATATGATTACTATGGCAAAAAGACTAATATATATATCAAAAGCAAATAAAATTAAGCTTGATATCTCAACCACTCACTCATCATCCATGATAATACAGTCTTCATGAGGACTCTATCTTAACAAGTGATTGGAGTTTATTTATAACAGCAAAGTATTCAAGTATAATAGAATGAAAAAACTTATATACCTATAGTCTGTTTCTCTAATTTAATCATGTTCTCATTGTAAAAGATGATGAACACTTTCAATACAAGGTCACCTGGAGATCATCAATACCATGTATTTATAAAATTTAGGAGACCAACTTTGGGGTGGGGGGGAATTATAGACTTTTACTAATATACTAATGCTATTCAAAATGAAGGAGCTCTGGTAGTATATGCCTAAGGCACTGGACTGCTAACCAGAGAGCTGGCGGTTCAAACCCATCAGCAACTCCTCAGAAGGAAGATGGGGCAATCTACTTCCGTAGTGATACCGCCTCAAAAACCCAAGGATGGGTTGCTATGAGTCAGGTCCGACTCGACAGCATGTAACAACAACAACAACAACATTCAAAATGAAGAGTTCAGAATAGGATTTCTCAACCTCAGCACTATGGGCTGGCTGGACAATTCTTTGGCGGGGGGGGGGGGGGGGGGGGGGGCCGGCTGTCCTGTGCACTGGAAGATGAGTAGTAGCATCCCTGCCCTCTACCCACTAGATGCCAGTAGCACCTTACCCCCAATTATGAGAACCAAAAATCTCTCCAAATGTCCTCTGGGGTACAATCATCAACCCTCACTGAGAACTATGCTTAGATCTGAAATAGAAAAAATTCAAAATGGATGAGGAGAATGTCTTCTTTGTTCTGTTTTTCTTTTGGTCTGGATGTTTCAATACATTATATTTGAATTTTATCACAGATCACATTTTAGAGATTCAGTCTTTTGGAAAACAAAGTATTTAATAGCTACCAAACTTTGGTAGCTTTTAAACTTTGTTATTCAGAGTTCAGAAGAATCCCACAACTCTCCCACCAGTCACACGTACACTTGCTCGTGGATACAAACATACACGCACACAAAGTATTGCCTAGCTAAACTGAAGAAAATGCACCTAATACTATATTGCCATTTCTCATTTCATCAAGCGTATTGAACAGACTGCCCCAGCTTCCACAGAATCCAAAGGAATTCTAAACTTACTTCAACGTAACTCAAATACCACAATAGCTGTAACACTCTAGGTATGATAAACCTAAATATAAGAGCAAGTATTATTGGCCTCCTCACAGTTTAACAAATTGTGGAGAAAGATACAAATTAAACTACCTGCAGTCCTTAAGTACATCTCCTTGTTACTAACAGACCCTTGTAAGTTCCAGGTCTATACAATGGTTAGTAATAACAAATTGGTGCTACTTTATGACACATATCAAAAGATTATTAGTGACATACTGTTACATTAAAGATGTTTTAGTGTACTGGAAAGTATTTCTTTAATGCATAAAGGTACACCGCATACTTATATACATAGTATAACAAACATTTGACTAACAAATCATACCAGTTCCTGATGTACAAATTCAACTGAAAGACAAGACTTGGGAATTGAACTCTTTCGCAACCTGGGGACTGCCTGTACAGTGCTTATAAAAAAAACAAAAGCCAAGTAGCAGAATTTTCATTTTGAAACAGAATCTAAGGATGTAAAGAGGAATGAAAAAATTCAAAGTTATGGGAAATCTGAAGCATTCCACAGTTAGGACAAAGATTCAGAATGAGGAAAAAGAACCCTGGAGATGCAGTGGTTAAGTACTTGGCTGGTAATCAAAAGGTTGGCAGTTCAAACCAATCTGGCATTCCATAGGAGAAACATGTGGCAGTCTACTTCTGTAAAGATCACAGCCTTGGAAATCCTATGAGGCAGTTCTACCCTGTCCTATCAGGTTGCTATGAATTGGAATTGACTCCACAGCAATGAGTTTGGTTTTCTTGTTATTTCGATCCTACAGGAATAGTCTGCATAATTGGTCTACAGAATACATGCCAGAAAAGGAAAAATGAAAGCCCACAAAACACTTAAAAAAAAAAAAAAAAAAAGTAAGCATTCATCCTAAACACTTGGAATAAAACTGTTCTTCACTACTGTTCCCATTTGATTTAAAAAAGGAAAGAAAAAAAAATAACCTAGAAACAACAAACTCATGACTTGAAAAATTTTTCAAATCTCATAAAAATACCCATCCCCATGCTTCCAGCATGCTAGATTATACATTACATACAAAAAACAATTAGGAGAAGAAACACACTAAACCCTTTTCACAGTGTATCTGATTCACAACAAAAGCCTTTAAAAAAAAAAAAAATCAAACATTTTAGGTACTAAAATGGTCAGGTATAAATATGGAATGAGGTCTTTATGATTATTTCAATTCTCTTTAGTAGAAGCACATTCAACTAGGAATCCTCACTTTTAAAAACTATGCAACAGTATTTAATATTAGTTTCATATAATCTATATACTCCATAGAACCAAAACTACTTATTTCAATATTTTAGTTATTAACCTCCTGGCCCAGTGAAAATAATCCTTCAAGAACTGATGCTCAATTCTTTTTACTCCCAAACCACACAGAAGAAGCTGTAAGATTTGAAGCAATAGCCTGCTTTTTCAGAAAGAATACCTTGGGACTGCTCAAGAATAACCTCATTTACCAATTACTATGATTCAGGTGGGTGGGTATGGTAGGGAATAATGCCCACAATTCCTACCAGTGGCCATGATGCCCCTCCTCCTCAGGGGCAGGAGATCAGAAAAGGGAGTGAGACAAGAGTTCATCAACCATAACATACAGAGGCAGAGGAGAAAGAGTACTATGGGAAAAACTAAAACTACATGGTTAAGTCATGTCACAAAAACAAGAGGCTTAATGCTATCAAGGCCTTCATTCATTTCAGACACACCACTGTTTATCTTCCTCCCCAAATCATGCACAAAAAGACTGTCAGCCTGCCTTAAGCATGTTCCTTCTTCCATTTAAACAGACATGATTCTTTTGGTTAATCTCTGGCAATGATCGCCATTTCACAACACATTCAGCCCACCCGGAACTGATCAATACCACTACAGACATAAGACTAGACTTTATCCATTTATTAACCACAAGGAAATGTACCATTCAGCAAAATCCTATACATTACAAAAGATTCTATTAAAAAGGGGGGAGGAAACAGATGGACAGACATACACACACAAACACACACATTATAGAGGTACACAAAGAAAAGGCTACCACCCTCTAATTTCCCTGTGGCAAATGATATAGACATGACCATGAAACCTGTCAATTCAACTGTTTCCCACCCCCCTATAATTTTTATCTCACAATCTAGTGATTGAGTATTGAATTTTATGATAAATAGATCCACAGTAACTTTAAAATTGTTTCATCTCTCCAACACTCCTGTTATGTACATCTGCACACCTTTGGGCTAGATGTTGGATTCATTTACAGAATTTCAAGTACAAAAGACTAGTTTTTCCAACCACTGGTTGCAATCACAGCATGTTCTCACAAAATCAAATAAAAAATGGCCAGATTATTCTTCCAACTTTGGGCCAAAACTTATTTTATGATTACAAGTATTTAACAAAACAATTTCATATGAACAGTTCTAACCCGAAAGCAATACAAAGCATTTAAAATAAACAAAATCTGTGCCCGAAAAGAGCTCGCAAATGATGGTTGAAAGCTAGCAAATTACCAACACACAAGTGGCATACCTCTTCTGCACTAGGTTATAGTTAATACTCCAACAACTACAACTATTTTAAACACTGCTGGACACCGAAGTTGAAGAAAACGTGAGAAGATACCCAGATGAAATTGTTGATACGATACATTGTTTCTCACCGTCAAAATTAAGGAGCAATTGACCTGATCTGTGTCGTAATAGTCACCAACGTAGGGCTAATTAAAAGACAATTTTTTTAAAAAAATCACCTTTTTTGGGGGGAGATGAATGACATTTTTGAATACGCATTTCGAATCTCAACCTTTGCATAAATTGTCACTTGTGGTATTTGCGGGTTAATTGCAACCCAACCAGCGCTGTCATCCAGTGTTACGGCCACAAACCATGACTTTCTCACTTCCACAACACAGCAATCATTCGTATCAGTTCGCCAACCTTACTCAAAACGAGAAAAATTCATGGAGGTTTCCAGATCACAATCAGACCTGGGGGATGGCAGCAGAGGGGCTCCGGGTGGAAGAACCTCCCAAGACTCCATTGAAGCTCAACGACCCAACAACAACCGCCGCCGCCAACAGCAGCAAGCAGCAGCAGCCCCGCCGCGCCGCGCTCCCTGCACCTACCTGAAGAACAAGAGATAAGAAAGACGGCAAACGCCAACTTTGCAGCAGCTCCCATTTTCCCCAGGCGCCGGGGAATCCGTAGGAAGTTCTCGTTAGATATCCAGTTCCCCGGGTCTTCCTCGGAGACAAATCTCCTGGTGTAAAATCAACCGTCATAAAACATATTTGGAAACCCCGACCAAAAACGTTCACGGGGTTTAAAAAAGAAAAAAAGGAGGAGGAAAAAAAAAGCACAATAATAATAATAATAATAAAGCACCACGGGGAAAACCGCAACACATACGTACAAGACTCAAAACCAAACAACGAAAAGCCAACAACAACAAAAGCAGGTTTAAATCACTGTCAAAATCACTGTCAGCTCCGCTCGCCTCTCGGGTCTCTCGGAACAAAACGCCAGGTTGAGGCGACGAGAAGGCGGCGACGACGGCTCCTGCTGCCGCCCGGACAGTCCGGGAACCAAGCTAGGTCCGACGTCCGGACCGACCTTCAACCCGGACACCCAAAGTCCGGGGACCACTGGCGTCTAAGCCCACGGCGGTGGCGGCCGAGGCGACAGCGGCAGCGCAGGGAAGGAGCAGCAGGCGGCGGCGCGGCTGTGCAGGCAACGGCCAAGTTCTGATCCAGGCTCTGGCTCCAGCTCCGGGCTCCAAGCTCGGCCGCGTTTTTGGTCCCCTGGCCTCCGCTGGGCCCCGCCTCCCAGACTTCCG